TTGCTTCTATGAAAGCAGGGGAAATTGTTCTTTCAATAATAAGTAAGATATTTAGTATTTTGGAACTTAAATATAAGTATCGAGTATCCGTTAGTGATGTGATTTGCGAATGAAGAGAATTCACCAATTTGTTTTACTACCTTGTCTTGGTTTTTATATAAATAATCGATGTTACTATTGATTTCTATTAAGTCGTTATTGTTGGGGGTTTATCAGTAATATATTTTATGGCTGTCCCTAAAACATTTATGAATGCTCTTTTATGAGTATGATGGTTGAACTTTTGCAAGTGTCTTTCTATCTGAACACAATTATCTTTAAGGTTTTGAATAATTTGATTATTTGAGTGTCCTTTTGCTTTTGATTCTAATATTACGACATTACTAAGTAGATTTCTGTAACTGAACTCTAGCTTACATTAAAATAAAAGTAAAACTTATGATAATTAGCAATTAACTGTCCAAATGAATGTCCGATAATTTGAATATTTACACGAACAGCTTGGACCTGGGCCTGCAAAGGAAATTTCTTCTTAACTCTTTTTATTTTTTGTTTATGGATATTGGCTATGCGGTTAGAGTTGTTTATAGAGGTTACATTAACCTTGTCGAAATAAGGTTCGGTTTTTCTAATTCTTTGTCCTTGATGTATACTACGGGTTTATTAATTTCTAGGTTCTCTTTATCGATATTTCTTTTGTCTAATATTCTACTTTCTCTTGCAGTTGTTTATTATATAGTTGCTCGTAAAATGGTAATATTTCGTTTTTTCTTGTTTCGTTATATGATTCATATGTTACTTTTAAAAGTTCCTTTCACTGGGTAAAACATTCAAGGTATTCGGGATTTCAGGTATCGACTTTTGTACCTTTGTACCTTTCTTTAAGCATTTGGTGAATGGTTGCACTATTTTTGGCGAAATTTTTAATAAATCGCCTGTAATATCTTATGAGGCCGAGAAGCTTTAATTTCTTTCGTGGTTTTCGATGAAGGGTATTCTTGAACGACTGTGATTTTCGGGAGTTCGGCTTGATGCCATCAGGTGTTATTACGTGGCCAAGAAAAGCTATTATAAAGCATCTTTTTGAAGGCACTCAGACTTTGTCTAGTTGGACTTTAAGATTGAAATGACGTAATTTTTCAAAAATCTGCTTTACATGAAGGATATGCTCTTGAAGGGATTTTGAAGAAATTACGACATCGTCCATGTAAACAAAATAGGATTTATATAGGTGTTCTTTTAGAACGTTATCCATTACTCCTTGAAACATACTGCTTTTTTGGGACAATCCATACGGGTGAGCTATGCTATCAGCATATCTCCCCTATCATTTCTATTGCCTAATCCAAACGAACCTGCTATTGCATCCACTTTACCCTCACCTAAGCACCGATGTGTCCTACAACTATTAGGTTTTCTTGCCCTTCCACTAAACTTAACACGTCTTCTATATCTACATAAACCGCTTCTACGTCTTCATCACTGTAATATGATGTAAGCATGTAGACCTTCAGTATTACCGTTTTTACCGGCTTCGAGTTCACTTTTTTATAAATAATCTTTTACACTCTGCCCTACTTTCCTACGCATTCAAATTCCTACCCCAGAATTACCTTCCACCGATCCTGTATGTATTATTCTAAAGGCTCCATTCCAGAAGTCTCCAGCCTCGGGCCAACGTACTTTACTAATGCCTACTATATCTAATTCTCATCTATTCATCTCTACTTTTAAATTTTCCAATTTCCCTACTTGCCTCATTGTCCTAACTTTCCACGCTTCGACTCGTGAAATATTTCACCTAACTCTATTACACTTATTGATGACATACCCGCCTGGACATCCGAATGGGGGACTAATTTATGTCCGGAGTGCTTTACCCCAGATAACGGCATCATTTAACTTGTGTAGAACACTTTACTCGGGATCATAATGTGGTGGTTTCCTGTTGCCTTCCACATTGCAGTATTGTGCATCAGAGTGCCATACCGATCCTCATGATCTGTGCCACTCTGAGTACTGAAGGAGTTGCTGCCCTCTTTCAGGGAATCTGGTTTTCTTTAAGAACTCCTCCATTATGGTTGAACCTATGGTCCGGCTTCCTAAATCATCGAAACTCGCATGCCGATCCACCCACTCTAGTTTGTACAAGAGTTTCGTCAAGGTTCAAGTTTCGTCGGATCGGTCACCGTCCTATTGTGGAATAGTTTCCTTAGCTAAACCTATTTCACTAAAATTGACATTATAGGTCATGTCTAGGTGATTATTAGTAATAATTGAACTTAAATTATAATTACTAGAAACAGAACGATTAGTAACAAGATTTTTTTCGTCAGAATTTTCGCTACTATTATCGAATGTTAATGTTTTTATCGGCAATTTTCCCTTTTCGTTGAATATCTTTTTTAACCACCGTAGTATTTTTTATTTTGAAGGTATCCCTTTTTCTCCCCGCAAGTTTGTTGATGATTCTCTTGAATGATTTGAATGAGACTGGCTCTGTTGTTGTCTTCGATTGAATTCAATCTTAAAAAAGAAAGTTAAATGATCGTTTATTTTATAAAAAATTATGTTTTATTTGTTGTTTAAAAATTGAGACTTTTCCTTACCATATAAACCGTTGTATACTTCCGAATAAATGCCTGGATAGATTGATCTTTTCCCGGTTGGAGAATGTAGCCTCATGTCCTCTATAGATTTCCGTCAATATGTTTCTCACTAGCTGTTTTCAATTAATCTCGCCAGTTGGTAATTCTGCTTTTCTTTCTAGGTATGCCATGACGGATTTTGGCAGTACAATGTTCGAGTTATCTCCATTTTTATTTTATCATTGCCTTGTGTTGTATATATTGCCGGTAATTCTGTTATATTACACTGAGAGATTTTATTCGATTCCTCATTTCAATTTTTATTTTTCTTCAAGTCCTCGAAAACTTGTTTGTAGAAGCTTATACCATTCTTTGTAACAGGAAAAAAAAATATTATATGATTTTTTTTATGTAGAAAATTTTATATTTGGTCAATATTATGAAACTTTAGATGCAATGTAATTATTTTTTTTTGCCTTTGATTTCATTTTGTTATATGTGATTTTATTGATCTCCGCAATATAATCAAATGTTGTTATTTGTTCCTTTGCAGTTTGCTGAGTCCATTCATAAAGGGCCATGAATAATTGCTTATTTATTTTTGGATGATTTTTTTGGCGCTTGCCATGAGCCGAAAAATTCCCCAAATTCTTTCAGATGAGTTATTTTTTTATCAAGAAGAAAAATACCACTACTAGGTGGTAACTCCTCCTTACTTACTAGTACTTCTATAAGTAAGGAGTATTTTAGACACAATTTTTACCAACCTTATTTGGTCCCGGTGACGATAAGATTCAGGAATTTCATCCGAATCTATTATCTTTCCATTTTACCCAATTTGTTCCAGACGTTTTAAAATGCTTTCGAAGAATTGAATATCACGATCTGAAAATGGAAAAAAAAAAAAAAAAACAATAATTATGCTTCAATCTGGTAACTTACTTTCTTTCTATCAATGAGTGTATAGAATATGCTGTGCTTGTCACTTCATGCCTCCGTATATATTTCATCACTGGTGTCTTCATCAACACTTACTTCCATGGATTTATTTCCTGTGCCTGTAGTATTGTTTACTGAATTTTTATTTTCTTCGTATGATGTTTAACTTGAAGCAGAAATTAAATCAAGTGCTTGGTTCTGTTTGTCAGAATTAGCAATTTGGGGATGGATGGTTCCATTTCAGTTGTAGTCGATATATTTTTGTGAATCACCCGTTGTTGTTTAATTTTTATTTTATTCTGGATACCTAAATCATTTTTTTTTGGACGACTGCTTGGCGAAATATTTGAACGTCAGGTTCACATATTTCCGCTTTGTCATTCAATCGTATGCTCTGTAGATAATTATTATCGTCTGTAAATAATAATATAAAACAATGAAGTTTGTTCCCATGAACATTGCAAAAACATCTTTAATTTTAAAATAAATTTAGCTGGCACATTAGTAATTTAGTAAAATGGTTTTCTAACGTTGTTAAATTTAAATCTGATTGATATAAAACCTATTGTGTCAGGTCAGACGAGGAAAACCTCTCAGAGGATTATCGTTAAACTAAAAACTAATCAATGACTCAAAAAGTGACACGAACAGCTAAAGTACGTTTACAATTCGTAAAAAACTTTGATACCGAAAAAATTAGGAAAAAAGAAATACAGTGTAAATTCTTTATAACGTCACTCGATTTAACGACAAACTCCTTAAAACGTCGAAATTGCTTGACTTTGGTTGGTTTACATTGTTTTCTGTACAATATTACACTCTGTATAGCGTCACGCTCACTCTGTTTAACGACAATAATGCGGCATTATAAATCATTGAGCAGTACTTTCTAAGTTGCCGAAATGGATAAGAACTGTAGCTGTGTACGTTGTTGAAGAAGACGATCCTGTCCCTCCACCAAACATCAAACATGCACTTGATGCAGCGAAACTATTTAAAAAAATGCTTTTTATATAATCAAATTGATCGAGCAGTTTCTCAAGATATGAGTAAGATACGTAACAAAATAATATTAAAATATTGGAGCAGCAAAAACATCAGACGAAGATAACAGGCTATACGCAATGCATAAATAATAATGTTCGTGTACAAAATATGTACTATATTGGTAAATGCATATTATTATAGAATAGTAAAATAATATCTTTTATTTCTCTCCATTTAACGACCACTCTTTATAACGCCGAAAAATGTTCACTCCCTTAAGTGTCGTTATATAGAGTTTACACTATATAAGAAAAATGACTACTTACCACTAAATACGATTATTTTTGCATCCTTTATTTCGGACGCGCCAGTCACACTTTGCCACGTCAACTTGACGATTTCTCCTATCGAGAGTTTATTTTTTTTGATCAACGTAGTTTTCATAACATCTGTAAAAAGTGAATTAATCTACCAAATCAAAACAAATTTCATATATGTCACAGTTTTTACACTTCGGTGCCATTATATTTAACACTTTTGCACTGGAAACACTTTTAGACTTGAATCGCAATTTTTCACTGTTAACGTAATCGAAGACGAAAATGTTTCGAATGCCGCTTTTTTACGACAGAGTTGTAGGTGGTGCATTATGCAGGGTAAGATGACGTGCAAATAGCTGCCGCCATCTTGACGAAATATTTTCGTGGAAAATAGTAACAGTTAAAATTATTAAGAAGATTATGTTGAAAAAGTCTTTTCATCAGCTGTCAAAAAGGAGACCATGGGATTATTTGTCAATTTTTATGGTGGTAAATCAGATTAACGCTATTAATACTATTACTGAAGAAATAACACCTTCATTACTTGCAACAAATGACGTCAGTTTTAACATCTCTTATTTTTATTATTTTAGCACATTACTTTTTATTAATTCATCAGACAAATCGTGTTCAGAACGATTAGTAACAAGATTTTTTTCGTCAGAATTTTCGCTACTATTATCGAATGTTAATGTTTTTATCGGCAATTTTCCCTTTTCGTTGAATNTTAATACTATTACTGAAGAAATAACACCTTCATTACTTGCAACAAATGACGTCAGTTTTAACATCTCTTATTTTTATTATTTTAGCACATTACTTTTTATTAATTCATCAGACAAATCGTGTTCAGTACAGATTCATCACAGGTTCAGTTCTTTTATAGATTAACATAAGTGAAGAACCGAATTGTAATCAAATTATAAATCAAGATGATTCAGAAATGAGAGAAAAACATGATGAGTCAACTGAAGGGAATAGCAACGACTATGATGCCAGAACTGTAGAACACGATGAAGAAAATAGCGCCAGAAATGGAATAGAAATTTCTAGACTGGGTGCGAATCACAATACAAATGACAATAACGGCAGAATAAGAGAACAACTGAAAACGATGTTCACAAGGTAGATCCTAATGTTTCGTATATCTGACTGACATTGATGTAACATTGTTCATTTCCAGTTCCGAGTAACAAATGAATTTTTAGGTTGCTCTGAATATGATTCATATTCCCCAATAGAACCATTAAAATATCTGTATCAGAACATCTTATTACTACGTTAACATCGGTATTCAACTGACAAATGTGGATAACTATCTTTGTATTCGCTTCTTCATCAGCTGTACAATTGAAATCTTGCTCTACGCTTCTCTCTATTTTTTTCATTATGTTTTTCATATTTGTAGCATACGTTGTGATTAATGTATATTGTTCTTTATCCTATAAAAGGCGCCATGTAAGCATTTTCCCAATCTTGGCAAATAAATTGAATTAAAGCCTCTTTTAATGAATATTTTTTAATTCATTGGAGAAATTAGCCGACCGTAACTGATCAGAACTGTGAATATGATAATTCTCACCCTCTATTCTGCCTCTCAAGGTGTGATCGTGGTCTTTTATTGATGGAGTGAAGAAGCAATCAAATGCGATAATAATTTTGCGTGCATTCGATAATGTAACCATTGTGTTGAATTTCTTTGAAATATTTATAAATGATAATGGAACTTCTGTCATTTAATGTAAAAGAATTGATTCATCATTAAATCATCACATCACACCATGCTGGAGGACTACTGACTATATCTGTTCTAAGGTAAGATCCACTGGTTGTATCGAAAGTGGCTTATCAGTTATTTTGATACCATATGATCGTTTTTCATATACTAACTGTATCCTTGGATGAGGTGTAGCTACTTTTAGTTTTGTTGATTAAAAACAAACAAAATGTTGGTAATTTTTGGCAATATAAATTTAACTAATTCAAAATCGGGCTTTCTAATGCTTTTAAATAATAAAAAGTAATAATTAGTTAAATTGATATTTATCACATAAAATTGGGCAGTTTTTCCATTATTTGCTTTGTTCGTTGTTGATAACTTTCATATTTTCCAATATTTGTATTAATTTTTTCATTATTAATTGCTGGATCAGCAGGTTTTTCTGATTTAAACTTAATCAAATATTGCCTAATTTCATCGGTAATTCCGGTATTTTTGGTGTTTAAAGACTTTTCAAAATATATCGATTGAAGAGCTAATGAGAGTAAGGGATGTAGTCTTTTACAACTATTAAAGTGAAATATTATTCTGAAAATTCATTTCTGAATTTTGACCCACTACACACTACCTCAAATTAATTAGGGGAAAATTGTTGCTGTTGTCACACCCCCGCCGGGAATCGAACCCGGGACCTTTGGCTTTACGCACCAATGCTTCGACCACTATGCTACGAGAGATGACAACAGAAACAAGGACAAACCGTACTTATTAGATCACAAATCCGTCGAACTAATGTAACTAAGTATATACTGAATATACTATGAATAATCATACATACAATTTAGACATCTTTTAGAAGCGAGTTATTTTAATATGAAATCTTCTGAAAATTCATTTCTGAATTTTGACCCACTACATACTACCTCAAATTAATGAGAGAAAAATTGTTGCTGCTGTCATACCCTCGCCGGGAATCGAACCCGGGACCTTTGGCATTACGCACCATTGCTTTGACCACTAAGCTACGAGAGATGACAACGGCAACGACGGGTTCTATTAAAGTGTTGCCCTGCTATAAAAGTATTGGCAGAACCACTAACTAGTACTTCTGCATTTATCATCACGTTAAATAAGCCATAATTATATGAAAAAGTATCAAAATGAACGAATAAATGATCAATACGTGGTTTTTCGCTGGTTTGTATTTGCAGAGCAATTTTTGTGATAGCTAGGTCATATGTGATTTCCGTACATGTTTCGTTGCATTCCGTAGCCACTTGTTGACCCTGTTTCATTGTTTCTAAGACGATCGTTGTTAAGTATGCAATCTCCTGTTTGTAACTTGTATCATGTTGAATCATACTTTCTGTTTCACTTTCAGATTCATCATTTGAATTAGATACATTCTGAAAAATTATTCCAACAGTTTCGTGCAAAGTATGTTTCCCACTTGTACCAGCAAATCAATCAAGGTTATCATACGCTAGTCCAGTGCATAGCTTATTGGAACATAAGATTTCTTCTGGGCAGATATCATTGCAAATAGTAGAAGGAAATGTTACTTCAGTTTCGATTTCTTCTAAAACAGTGTCCAAATTTGTTTAAAATATTTATTTTTTTTACTGTTCGTCAGACCTTTCAAAGCCATGTCAAGAGCTATATGTTTATTTTATTTTTTCCTTCAACAAAAGATGTCGAAATTATATTAACACTCATATTATGCTTACGTTGAAAACTTAAATAAAATTTGAAAATAAATCAGTTAACATTGGTGGTACATCGCATTCTCCTTTTATTAAATCATTCGCAAGGAAAACACTTTTACCGTTGGGACGTTAGCACTACCCGGGCAGAATGTACGTCCGTCATTTAGGGCTCCCGATGAAGAGTGTGCGATTCTTCTAATGTTTTGCCCTTTACAATGATATCATCTATAAATATAGTCACCTCCGCCATTGCTGCAAAAATTTGTTCCATCTGATCTAGGAAATACCCTGGGGTCGAAGTAATGCCGTATGACAGAGTTCTGTTGGTATAAACCTTTGTACGTGCCTAAAACAAAATATTTTCTTGAATTTTTACTTAGTTGCTCCTGTGCATAAGCTTCTTTTAAATCGATTTTTGAAAAATTAACACCGCCTTGTAAATTTGCTAAATAATGTTTAATTCGAGGTAGTGGGTGTCGCTCAACCAATATATATTCTTATAACGTTTAATTATTGGACCTATTGGTGTGCCCCACTTACCTCGATTGGAGTTAACATTCTTTCTTTAAGTAGTCTGTCAATTTCTTCTGAAACTTTTTCTTTTAATGCAAACGGAATGCTTCTAGCTTTACAAAAAAAAATTGGTAAACAATTATCACGCATTCTAATAATAAATTTTGATTTATTATAAACACCTCTTTAAGCGGAAAATAACTCATGGAATTTTTTAAAAATTCTATCTCTTTTATCAACTAAAATACCTTCATTCTTATCAAGGTCTTTGACGTTTAATTTTAAACATTTATTTGAGCGCTCTGCCTTTATATCATTTTTTTCTGACTGCACTGTTTTTAATGGCCATAAGTTTAATTTGTGCAATCAATGAGTGGTTTTCCTACTTTCCCTACCACGTACATAACTTATTTTAACATTTCATAGTAGTTCCATACAATTCTGGTAGCTTGCAATTTGCATTTATGAAAATATTTATTGTAGTCAATTTTACTAATTATGGAAATGGTTGATCCTCCATCAACTTCCATTTTTAACTTTTTATCGTAAATTTGAACTCTTAGGTTCTGCGGATCAATTTCAATTTTATTACAAGTTATATTTTCTTTAATGTTAATTGACAACGTAGTTTCGAAATAATCAGAATCTTGATCGTCTTCGCTATCCGAATCGCATAAGCTTTTATCGCTTTCAGTCTTTTGTTCAATATTTTTCACCGGACGAGCTTTATTCTTATTTCGCGAACTGTAAACGTTGCTCAAATGTCCTACCTTACCACAGTTGTTGCATGTTTTTCCATGATGCCAGCAGTTTTCTCTCCGGTGATTTTACCTACCGCAAGAAGTACACACAAAAAGCTTTTGATAATGTTAAATGGAACAAGATATTAAATATTCTTAAAAATGTAGGTATGAGTTACAAAGATAGAATAGTGATGATGGGGCTGCAACGTAGAGAAGTAAATATTAGGAAGGGAGTCAGACAAGGATGCACACTGTCATCGCTACTTTTTAATCTATACATCGAAGACGCAATCAACATCATTAAAGACAGTACAACTGTAAGGATAGATATACAGGGGTAAAAGATTAGTATGCTTAGATTTGCAAATGATATAGCAGTATTAGCTTTAAATAAAATGGAAGTAGTATTGACAAAACAGTACCGTACAACAATACTGGTATGCAAGGCAAGAAAAAGTAAGGAAAGAGCGAATATAAAGATAGGAGACGAAAAATTAGAAAAAGTGGCTGATTTTAGATATCTAGGAAGTCAGATAAGTCAGGACGGAAGGAGTAGTAGGGATATAAAGCAGAGGATAGCGCATGGTCGTGTCGCCTTTAATAAAAAGAAGTCACTTCTATGCTCGCGAGCGGTTGATTTAGAAATTCGAAAAAGGTTGTTAAAGGTGTATGTTTGGAGCATGGCACTGTACGGATGCGAAACATGGACAGTTGGCGCGGCGGAACCGAAAAGGTTAGAAGCTTTCGAAAGGTGGTGTTATAGGCAAATGATGGGGATACCATGGATAGAAAAGGTTAGAAATGAAGAGGTATTAGAAAGAATGGGAGAAAAGAGTACTCTAAGGAAGTGAATAAGAAATAGGCGACATAGGCTAGTAGGAGACAGGAGACAGTTTTGCTACGGGATATTCATTGTCCCACCATTTCTTTCGGTGGTTACTCGTGTTCATCTTTATTTACTTTATGTCTTTCGTTCATTGCAGTCTTTCTCTTTTTTGTTTCTTTTTCTCCTTTTGTTATTTAAAATTTAATAAAAAAAAGAGCTTTCTCTTATAATTGTTTCATGTTGTCTTTTTTTTATTTTCTTTTGTTTCTTCGTATCTATTTTAAGTTCCAAGCATAATATTTGGTGACCTGACTCGTTGTTAGCTACCACCTGCATGCTTTATATAACTTCTCCCTCAGTTTTTTTTTTTTTAGTGATTACAATAATACAAACTAGGAGTCGAAAAGCGCCTTATTCTTCTCCAGGAATTCACACAGTCTATTATTCACTCTTCATTCGTAGAGTTTCCCCATGCTGTTCAATAGACATATGGGTCGAAAACCTCCCTTGTTATCCATGGGATCAGGGCTAGCATAACCACTTTCTAGTCCGGAGGCATTGCTCCATGCCTATAAAAGTCCTCTCTCATTATTCCAATAGCCTACATGTAGCGAGCTCTAGCTTAAACTTGTCCACATTTCTTGACCTCACCTCACGATCATTACGACACCCTTCTACTTCGAGGCAGCCTTATTACCAGAATTGGCCGTCTTCCCAGTCCTGTATAGTAGGTTTACCCGACGTTGACTCCCCCCTCTCACCTTGTCCGCGAATGACACCCCTGGTTGTACCACCTGGGGGCCGCTACGAGTGGACGTGGTGCTATCGCGATCTCTTTTTATACAAGAGAACAGGATGCCCTCGCACTCTGCGTGCCTGTCCAAGATGAACCTGGCCGCCACCTTAGAAATCTTATTGCCTTCATCGAAGACAAAGCTACCGAGACTCTCCCCGATCTGCCTTATCTTTTC